CTATAAATTTAAATTTAGTACTAGTAATAATAGATATTTAATAATTTATAGTATTATATACTACTTTACTAATATTTCTAAAAATCTTTTCGGGAAAAATATTAATTTTAGCTCTAATATTAATTATTTCTTTATATTTAATATTGTTTTATAGTTCTTAAAATACGAATTAAAAATACGGAAATTATATAATATATTTATAACTTAGTAATATTCGAATATTAATATTATTGCCTTTAAATTAAATAATTCTATTAATATTAAATATCTAAACTAGTATTATTAATCTCTTAAATATTCTATTTATTATATAAGCTATAGTTACTAGTTTCGCAAATTTTCTAGTTTATTTAATTATATTTAATATAATAGTATTTCCTATTTATAAAATAATAAGGTAAAAAATATTATTCTTAATTTATTAGTTTTAAAATATAATAGCTAGATCTAATATTTTTAAGGTATTAATAAATATTCTTATTTTTTTCTAAGTTTTTAAAAATAGAATAGTTATTTTCTTTAGTAATCTTATTAAAATATTATTAATTTTAGAAGTCTTATATTTATTATAATTAAGAATATATTAAATTCCTAATTTATTCTATTTATTCTATTTATTCTATTTATTCTATTTATTCTATTTATTCTATTTATTCTATTTATTCTATTTATTCTATTTATTCTATTATTCTATTTATTCTATTTATTCTATTTATTCTATTTATTCTATTTATTCTATTTATTCTATTTATTCTATTTATTCTATTTATTCTATTTATTTCCGGAAGTATTAATATTTATATTCTCAGCTAGGCTATTTTCTTATTTATTATTTTTTAGAATAGTATTTTTCTGGCCTCTTATATAGGGTAGCTTTTCTTTAGCTCTAGCTTGTTTTCGGAAAACCTCTTTAGCTATTTCTATCTCTTTTCTTTTTTATTTTATTTTAATAAGAAACCTATTATAGTATTAATAGAAATACTATTTATAGTTAAGTCTTAGTATTATTTATTAATTTCAGAACTTAAAGTATTAGTAATTCTAATATAATTTCCTCTAAGATAAAGCGGCTATTTAGATTCCCTAAATATAACTTGCTTGCTTCTATATATAAATCGCGGTTAGTTAGTTCCCTTATCTCTTTCTTATCTAGTAAACTAGATATCTCTTATTACCTTCTAAATATTCTTAGGTTAAATATTTAAGTTATAATTAAATTCTTTTTTTCGGATTTAGGAAATAATTTAGTTAAACTACTAGTATTTACTAATAAGAAAAAAAGAAATACTTTTTTATTTAGGCTTAAATAGGCCTTTATATTATCTTTTATTAAATTAGTAAATATATCTATAATTTATAAGCTCTTTTATTAATAAGTAATAGAACTAAGAAATATAAATATATTTTAGATTAATATTATTATTTTTATTTCTATTATAATACCTATAATAAATTCGTTTTCTCGGTTCTGGGTCTATACTATAAGCCGTATTAACTTAAATAATATTCTCTAATTATATTTGAGACTAACCTCCTCCAAAATATAGTTATTTAGTTCCTTTATTTATTTTAGCTTATTTACTAAAGCTATTATAGTATTTTCTATAACCTTTATTATAACTTCTAATATATCTTTCTCGAAAACCTGAATTATATTTACTAAACTATTAATACTATTATTTCTATTATAGTTAGCCAGCTTATATAAATAGGCTATAAATATTCTCTCGAATTATAATAGTAATTATATTAAGTTATTTTTATAAATTCTCTTAAATTATAATAATAATAGATAGTTTTTCTAGGCTTTTTACTAATTAGTTAATATTATTTCTTTTAAGTTTACTACTTTTAGTAGACTTTATATAATTAGCTATAGGCTAGATTCTTTTTTTACTTATATCTATAGTAGCTTTAGGAAGTATAATAGAAGGAACTAATAAAGAATAATTATTTTCTGGTTTGGGAACTATATTATAAACTACTATATTTAAGTATTCTTATCTAAGTCTAAATATATCTGGGTTATTAATAATATTAAAACGGTATTTCTTTTCTTTATATTAATAGAATATTACTGCCTTTTTATATATCTTACTATATTTATAAATAGAAGTATTTATAGGCTCGAAGTTTATATTTTTAAAAATATAATTTCTTACTAAAATAGATAATTGTCTTATAAATTTCTAATACTAAATAATTTCATTTATCTCTTTCCTCTTTAGTAATTCTTTTAATACTTTATTAAATATATTAATATAAGACTTGGAAAAGATTTCTTTATTCTGGGCTTATATAATAATCCAATTAAAAAAGCTATAGCTAATTTTAAGTATTTTCTAGTTATATTCTCGGAATTCTTTTAATAAGGCCTTAAAAACTTGATTTCCTAGTAATTTCCTAAATTATTAATATAGTACTCTAATATAGTCTTAATCTAATTCTTATAAATAGAAGAAATATAATAAATAATTTTCTTTCTCTTAGTATTATTAGAAATATAATAACTCTTATATATATTTATATACTATTTTAAGAATATAGAAATATTACTTTCCTAAAACTATAATATTTTAGAAGTTCTTATAAATAATAGATTTAAATTCGGTACTAATATATACTTATTTTTAGCTATATTAATTTTAATAATTTCTTCTATAACTAATTATAGAGTTTCTATATCTGAGACTTTTACTAATAAAGTTTTTAAAGAACTAACTTCCTATTTAAGTATATCTTTTAATTTAAGAATTATAATTTAAAAGAAACTAATTAATAATAATAGATATAGTCTAAATTTAAGTTTTGGTATTAGTAATAATAAGGTAATAGCTTTTTTAGTCTTATTTCTATTACTTATATTTTCTTTTCTACTCTATTAGCTTAATATCTATAGTATCTTTACTTAATTTTACTAAACTAGATATATTTAATAATACTATTAAAGGTAATAATAATAATAATAATAAATATAATTTTATTAATTTCTCTGATTTTTTTGATTTTTTTGAATTTTTTGAATTTTTTTTTTTAATATTTTTTCTTTTCTCTAAAAGCTTTTTTAGATTATTTATATAATTTCTGATTTCTGATTTCTTTTTAATTCTTATTTCCGGTTTCTATTTACTATTTTACTTGAAATTAAAAATATTTTCTATTTCGAATATTCTTTTCGGATTTAGAAATAAGCTTTATTACTAAAACTAAAGCTATCTCTATTCCGGTTTTTACTATAACTAAAAATAATATATAAATTAATAATTTATTTTTATTTTTATATATTAAAGTCTATTTCTAACTAAGGTCTAACTTATATTATCTTAATATAATATTTCCTATTCTGTTTCCTCTATTTTTTTTCTTTTATAATTAGTCTCTATTTTTATTATTCTTATATATTATACCGGTAATTATATCTTATAGCTAATCTATATTTAAGTTATTAGATATATTAGAAATTAATATAAGATATTAAGATTAATACTTATATATTCTTAATATTTCGGCTTTAGGCTTAAGGTATTATAATAGCCCTTTTCTCTTTAAATTTACTAAGCTAATAATCTGCCTTACAGAAATTCCTTAGAACTTTATAAGAGTATTACCTTAACTATAAAGTTTTAATCTCCTTATATTACTTATTATAAAATATATAAAAGAGAAACTATAATAAAATAAAAACTTATATAAAGTATATTAGAATATAAAATATAACTTAATAGTAAAATAATAGAAATAAAAGTATAAATAGTAAAATATAAATAGTATATAGTATATAAAAGCTTAATTAATTAAATATAAAGAATAGATTATTATCTAGAACTATAGAAAAGCTAGCTTTTTTATATAATTCCTGCAAGTTATATATAAAAGGCCCTAGCCTTTATTATATAACTAAAACCTTAAAACTATTAAAATAAGGTAATTTTAATAGAATACGGCTTGCTGTATTATATTAGCCTTTTAAATATCTCTAGTATATTTCAAATATATTTCTTTAGTAAAGTAATTATATTATATATATTTAAAAGATAATAAAATATAGATAATAAAATATAGGTAATTATTAGGTAATTATATTAGCTAATAAGATTAAAAGCTAAATTATAATAATTAATATATATTTTTTAAAATAATAAAGAAAATAATTAATCTTGTTTTATTATAAGAAATAATAAAATTAAAGCTTAAGTACTTCTTTTAAAAAAATATAAAGATTATTTAATAAATTTCTTTTTTATAAACTATAGCTATTTTATTATTATTTTATTAATATTTATATTTCTAGTTATTTAAATATTAGTAATATTTATATTTAGTTAAGAAATTTAAGATAAAATCTTTTTTATATTTTTAAATATTTTAAAGACTTATAAAAATAGTTTAATTAAAATAGCTTAAAGTTATAACTAATTATTTTAATATATAAATATTTTCTTTTAATATAATTTCCTTAATTTAAATAATAATAAATAATCTTAAATATTAAAACTAGTTATTTAATTAAATAAAAGTTTTAAAATTATTTACTTATATTTTAATACTTATACTTATATAGCTTATAATTAAACTAGTAAAGGCAAAACTATAATTAGCTTATATTTATATTTATAATAATATTAATTAAATATAAAATAATATATACTTTATTAATACTTATAGCTCTTATATAATTTTCTATAATTGAAATATTAGAAGTTATTTAAAAAGAATTCTTATTAATAAGTAATATTAAGTAATTTAATTAAAGAACTTATTTATAAAAATTATATTAAAAAGATTAGCTATTCTTGGCTAATTAATTAAATCTATATTTACGTAATTACAATAATTACCTGTTTGATTCCGTAGCTAATAATCTAGTTCTTGGCGTTATTAGTACTTATATAACCGCGGCTAACCATTCATAGTCACGTGAAGTTCCGCACATGACTCTAGAAATGACACCTGACTTCGCCTCAACAGGTGACGCAAAACACAGACGGGGTCACAAGATATGGCTTGATTCTTACATTTGACTCGTGTACTGTCCACTACACTCCTTCAAGCAGCCAAGTTGGCGTCGTCTTCTCCAAGGCCCGCCCCAAAAACCCTCAGTGGGTGTTCTATATATATTATCCATTCCTCACTCAGATTCTGTTTAACTGCATCAAACATATGGTACGCTCGATGCTCCATATACCAGCACGAGTGACAGTTCTTAATCAACAGGCAGTAGTGGGCCATTATGACAAGTGCAAGAGGCTTCAACTGACTTAGAAGCTGAATAAAAACGTCAGATATTATGACGGGCCAGATAGAGGCAAAAGCTCTACGAATTACAGGATCCTCTGTCTGTGAAGAAGCTTTGAGGAGTCTGCGCAGCCGAGTTGTGGCATCTTCGTACGCTTCCATTTCAGCGACGGTCGTGGAAGCTTCGATGGCTGAGGATTCATTGAGGCACCGAAGTAAATTCTCCAAGCTTTTGTCATTTTCATCCCCTGATGTTTGGTTAGTTGCCTCAGTGTAGATTCTTGCTCTCTGTTCTTCACCAATCAAAGGCGCAAGCGGACCAGATGTGATGCTTTCCCGGGCCTGGTTCAAGATAGTTTGGCAGCCACGATGCCAAATGACCCAGTTGGACAGGCCGTTGTTTCCTGTTGTCGAGGACGGGAAGAAAAATTCGGGAGCGCGAAAAGATACGAAGTGCGACACCATCAGGAGGAGGGAAAATCCAAAGACTTGGTTGCAATTCTCCGTTGTGATGTTTGACATGGCAATTTGAAATGGCCCAAGGGCAACATCTTGGTGCTGTACTGAGAGAAGTTGGTATCTTTCTAGTTGATCTGGATGCAAGTATGCAAGGTGAAGTGCAGCAGTTGACATCATTCCATGGATGAGATAGTCACATGAAAGAGCAATCTTCGGCAGCTCTGTCATCCAAGGACCCGACATCGTTGCCGCTGTTGCCGTAATAAACTGGTGCCACTAGAGAGTGGTAGTGTCAGCTGCTCCTGTCTATGACGGGAAGTACCCAGGTATTCGAGACCACCTCACGACTCCACTCAACATAGAGCAGCAGGCCACCAAGAAGATATAACAGGGTTGGAAATAAAGGGTTTCGTACTAAAGTTATATCCTCCGTGTCAAAACTTCCAAGTCTTTTCAGCGGAGTGGTTGGGTCAGGCTCGAGAGATTGCCGCGGCCCAGTGAAAAGTACCCCAATTCCAGGAGGTGCTGCAGCCACAGAACTGTCTGCAGTGGATGTGAGAAGTGAAGGCAATATGAGCCTATCGGGTCGAGGTCGTGGGGCGGGCGGCATCCTCTGGGAAGACCCTTCTACAGACGGATAGTCACACGGCGTTTCATGTTTTGTACAGCCCGCGCAAATTGGTTTTACTTCATTACACTGACGCATTCAGTCAAGGAAGACATTGGCATGGTATCCGTACGCACCTTCACTTTCCGTCGCTTACACTCAAAACAACCTCCTCTCGATTTGGTGTGAGTTCGTCTTAGCAATGGCATTACGGGAGGCACGCGAAGTTCCTTTAGTGAGACTGCCTTCAACCGTTTTCAGTGAGACTGGCTTTTGACAGGAGACCTGCGAGACCTGACGGGCCGGCGCAACCGTGGGGAAGGTTTACGAAGAAGTCCAATGAGCGTTCAATATCGATACTAATGAGTATTTGTGCCACTGAATGATGTGTCTAGGCTGGATTTCCCGGGACACTTTCCAGATGTGCTTGAAGAGCAACAGGCAGCTCAATTGTGAAAGCATGTGGACGTTGCACCGCGCCACATTGCTGTGCCGTGATGCGCACTGCCCCCGTAAGGCAAGGCTGGAGATGGCAAGGGTTCAACAAAATGGATGCCTCATTGGACAAACAATCCGAAATACGAGACACGAGACATAAGCTGCCTCGACAACCCCCAGTCTTTTCTACGAACTATCCAATTCAACTCAACTTCCACAATTGTCATCAAGATTGAGGATCCTGTTCCTGGCGTGATTTTGATGCGTTTCAAAATAAAAATGCTTTCATTTGTCAATGTTCCGTGAAGACAGGATGGCCTGCACCTTCATTGAGATGAAGCCTGCTGACGTTCCGCGGCGGACCTGGGATATCCTTACTCAGTGAATACTTGTACATCCAATTCTTGGGGGCTAACATACATGTCTCGTAGTATATAAGGCTCTCTCATTTCTTATCCGAATATTTAATTTCCTAGCTCCAAGAACCTCACGCGTTGCACATTCACTTCAAATAAATCGTCACTATGAGACTCGACAAGTTGCTCAGTTATAGTCTTGTGATTGCTCCAGCTGCATCTGCGCACCACCCACTCCAATTTCGACAGCAAAATTGGACCATTGGGCAGACCGCACAAACAAGCAGCGGTCCAGTCATTGGACACGCCGCACCAACTGCTACCGAAGTCTCTGAGTATCTCGGGATTCGATACGCTCAACCTCCTCTTGGAAGCCTACGATACGCTGCTCCACTTCCATACACTGGTACCGCTGCGTTCAATGCTTCCGCTTTTGTATGTGCCTATTATCCTTGTATCTCCTGGACTTTGCTGACTACTAGCTCTATCAAGGGGGCTTCATGTCTTATCGTTCCGCAGACCGGCAGTAGCAATGCAGCGTCCAATCCTGCAAATCTCACAGCGGCAGGGGCTCAAATTGTCATCGATGGTGCGGAAAAAGGAGCAAAGATGAGCGAAGACTGCCTCACATTGAACCTCTGGACCAAACCGCAAACGGGAGAGCCTGCCAAAGCCGTGATGCTGTGGGTTTACGGTGGGGGGTTTCAGAATGGATGGACGGGAGATCCTCAATACGATGGGCAGTACCTCGCAGATTTAGAGGATGTAGTCATTGTTTCTTTTAAGTATGATTGCCTAAATCGCGCTTCTGCGGGGAGAGCTGATACTTGCATAGCTACCGCGTCAACATCTTTGGTTTCCCCAGCACCCCATCAGGATTCTCCAACGTCGGACTTTTGGACCAGCGACTCGCTGTGGAGTGGGTACGTGATAACATCGCAGCCTTTGGTGGAGACCCACATCGAATCACCCTTTTCGGGCAGTCCGCCGGAGCAGCTTCAATTGATTTCTACAGCTACGCCTGGCCAAGCGACCCTATTGTGAATGGCATGATCCTAGAATCTGGCACGACACAAGTTATCCCACCCCTCAACGAAACAACCAGCGCAGCAATGTGGTACAACATAACAAGACAAGTTGGTTGCGGCACCACAACTTCCAATGCCTCGAGTACATTGGCATGCATGCGGGCGGCCAACTCGACCTCTATCCTCTCCGCGTTAGCATCAGCGCCGTCCTTCGTACCGACCATTGACAACACTATCGTCTTCAGCAACACCGAATACAACGCTCGCTCTCTCTCTGGAAAGTTCATCCAAGCACCCCTTCTCATCGGCACAAACGACAACGAAGAAACCATCTTCCGCACGGGCGACATTCTTCACGGTGGTGCAAAATCGGATTCCTTCTACGAAGAAACCAACTTGAACAAATTCTTTTGTCCATGTGCAGCACGTGCAAACGCCTCTGTTTATAATCATGTTCCCACTTGGCGGTATCGCTGGTTTGGTGTATTTGAGAATACGAACTTGACTCTCTCAACAGACAGTGGCGCATACCATGGATCGGAAATTCCAATTATCTTCAATACGCCGCCAGCGGGCAAGGGTATTGCCAATGATACAGTTGAGGAGTTGGCAGTCATGGCTTATATGCGTGGAGCTTGGGCGACATTTGCAAAAGATCCTGCCAATGGCTTGAAGTCATATCAGGGCGGATGGTATATATCTCCCTTATTTATTGCCCAGCTACCAAATCTTCACAGAACTCACTGACTTTTTCACTTCAGGCCGTCGTATTACCCCACCAATGCCACCCTCATCAGGCTAGCTTTCGACCCGACCAACGCTTCCTCGACCAATCTCGCGTTACCAGAAATGTATGATGCAGGATGTGGGACGGTACTTGCAGTTGCTGGAAATGCGAGTTCGACTACTGGATCGGCAGTACCAAGTCCAACGGTAAAGGCTTCGAGTGGAATTGTCTTGTCAAGTCCAAGAAATTGGGTACTTCTGGCTTGCCCTGCTCTGGCTCTGGTGTGGACGTTGTAAAGTAGCTCGTCTGTCCCTTTGGAACTAGCGCGAGCTTAAAAGCCCTACCTGGGCTGAAAATAGCAATTCTCTTGCCTGCCAGCCTGCCAGGCACTGTACTACTGTAGTAATAAAGTGTAATCTAACAGTGCGGATATCCGATCTCCTAAAGTCCCTTCTCAGACCTCAGTGCTCCATTAGGCGATCCACAACGGGGTGCAGCCCAGCACTCGCTGGCGAACAGCCCTGGGCCTCCCCTATTCCCTTACGACTACCCGTTGCCTCCCTTGGCTTCCAACCAGGGCCCATACTATAATGCGTGGGCAATTTCTGGGCCGAGGAAGATGGTAGGTTCTGATGTCGAAATCTTGTATTGCTTTCAGCAAACAAGATTGAGTTTAACGAGCACATGAAATAAGGTGATTTTATGGTTGATTGGCCAGAAGGCACATTATTCCAAATCTCACGTGGCGATTGCCTGTGTTCAGCTGAATTTGTCTCTGGTGTTGGACCTGCTCAGATTCTGTCGCAATGGCTTGTCTTAACGACGTGCTATCCTTGCTTTGAGTTGCTGGAGGCCGCGACACGTTCAACGGCGGAAGTATCGAGGGCTGAGCGACTGTACACTTGGCATGGATGTATTCGGGCCATCAAGGCATCGAGTTTGTCCTCTGCCATTGAGATCTCAAGGATACAAAAATTGCTGATGACCAACTACATGAGTTTCAAAGCCGTCTAGAATGAGACAGTTGATGCAGAGATTCGCAGTGAGGGCTTGATAAAGGAGGAGATTGGAACTTTCACATTGAAGCTCTTCGATCTTCAATCCGTGTTTATCCCTTGAGTTTAGACTCCAGTCATATGGCTCAAGGGCTCTCCCTGTTCGATGCCAGCGCTTGCTGTCAAAGACTTAAATGTTGTCAAGAATCAAAGAGGTGTATCGAGCTTTAAATCTAGGGTAAGAGAAACGAGTAGACTACTTTATCCGTTTGCAATGGCCTCTCCATCTCCGCAGCTACCTTCAGGATACTGGAGACTCCTCGCAAAAGCACTAGGATGATGTGTCGATGGTGCAGTTAAAGCATGAAGCTATCTGTATTTGAAAGGAAGGTCCTCTCAAGAATATCATTACTTAAATCGTGCAGAGGAGAAACTTCACACATAAGCTCTGCGCCTTACCCTTACCACCTCCACGATAACAGCACAATCGCGCATCTACTTCAAGATGTTTCTTGCTCTCGGCTACCTTGCCCGTTCTTTCTCAGCAGGAGATTTTGTGTATAAATGTGAATTTGAATTAACTCCGTTCGGCAGAGGTTATAAAGGAGTGGTGGGAGCTGTTCAGGGCGGCTTGACCTGCTTTGGCTGCAATGAAGGTATCGTGACCTTAGTGCTGCGAAACAGGCCCCCTCAGATGGGATGTTGGGAAGGATGACAGAGACTAGTGACTTGTTCTATCATTAAGGGACGGAGAAGATTCTGCTGCTAACGGCAGGACTTACTATCAATGATTCTGCTGTTATCAAGCCTCTACTTAAGGATGTCGTGGGCTCCATGCACTGCTTGAGCTTTCTCACTGTCCATTTTGAATCTTTGATACCTATCCAAGCTTGCAACTTTTGAAAGTGATATCACAGAAAAGCGCTAGTCCCTTGAGAATGAATCATTTCCATTTGAGGTGAGGCATGAGAACGAGAATTCTCTCTCCAGCAGCACGTTTGTATCCCCACAAAGCCGATGCTCTCCAAGCAAAGGAAGCACGTGGGCAGATTGCCATCACGTGCCCCTTTCCCCTTTCTAGCACCCCCTTGTAACTCGGTCACGATCCCTCTACCAAACAAACGCACAAAGAAAACAGTGTCTCTGAAACAATAACCTGAACTGCAAGTATCCTACATGGGAGCACCAACAACAGAGGACAAGCATGCACGTGCCCGCCCCTTTCTGCTCTCCCACTGACTCGTCCCTCGCTTTCGCCACCTCGTATCTGTACCTCTCACCATTCCACTGCAAACCCTAATCCCACGCACAGCACAGTACAAATGACACACGATACGATACGATAAAACGGCGTGCAAAAAAGCAACGAAGAAAAGATTAAAAGATAAGAAAGCCGCTTCGATCTCTGTCGTCATGTTTCGTTCCACTGTGCTTCGTTCGGCCCAGCCCTGTAGCGAAATGAGGACGGGCTTGACAACTCATCAATTCCCCGAAATTGGACTTCCAAAAAACCCCCGCCCGCGGTGCACGAACGAGAACCCCAGCAAAACACATGGAAAGCAACCTCGAAATCTAAAATTTCCAACACAATAATGAAAGGGGGGTGGGGGGTTGGGTTCTAGAAAAAAAGGAAAAAGGAAAAAAAAAAAAAAAAAAAGAGATTTGTCTTCTAGAAAAGTCTTTCCCCAGCTATTGAGTTGAGGCGCCTTGCAAGCATTTTATTGGGAGATTTGCATGTATTGATTGCTATGCATTCTACTTGGGAACGACGGAAAGCCTCCCGGGCCAGAGAATAGACGCGATGGAAATTACATACGCGCTGTCCCCTAACCTCGAGCTCATTTCTCGCATGTATTACGCTCGTTCTCGCATGCCCTTCGCTTGCGATCCGTAGCTCGATCACTCATTGGGAGTCGTCGCCCGCGGGACGACCGACGGCGAGACGGCACGGGGCTCTCGGTTCCACGCCGCCCCTTTCCCTCCCTCTTCTCACGCATCCCAATTGTGCAAAGCTGTTGCTTGATTGCTTGATTGCTCGCTGAGCCGCTGGAAACGAGGGAGGTTGGGAGGTTGGCATGGAAATGGTGTGGGTTATTTATGTGCCTTCACAGCACCGATTATTCCGAGAGTCACTTCTTGCATCGTGTGTTTCGCGGAGGGATTGGAGGGCCGAGGGGCGGCGGGCCCGCGTGGCGTCGATAGGGGCAGCTGAGGCCCTGTGCTGGGCCGTCGATCTCGGCTGCACGCCTCTCTCGCGAGCACCAGCCACATCTTACGAGCGAGACGATGGATGCAGGTGTGCATGTGGATGCGACGCGAGGGAGGGAGGTACGGACGCGTTTGGGCGTGTTCAGTGGGTTTCGTAACTTTATCGCTGTCTGTCTGTCTGTCTGCGTGCCGTCGATTTCTCATTTCACGTCTATTACGGCGATGGGGAAGTCCCAATCAACGTACATACCCACTGGTGTTAATACCCGAGCCGAACAATGTTGGTTTTGGAGATTTGAAGAAGGAAAAAAAACAATAAATTGCAGATATAGGAGTTTGTTGACGCCGAATTATTCCAGGCTGGTATCGTTGTCTCCAGAAGCAGAAGGTGTCATGGACGCGGGTTCCCAGGATTGCGGGGAAGGATCCACTGTGGAAACGCGAAGAAGTGCTCGAAACAGCGACGCGTGAGATTATTGAGTGGGAAGCCCTCACGCCTCAGCCGTAGGGCTATGCTGCATCTGCATCTGCAAATGTGATGTGGTTCTGCTTTCCGCTCCGCTCCGCGCTGACTCGATTGCGATCTGCGCAGAACATCAAGGGCAGTAGTGGTGCGACGCTGCAACTCTCTTTCCCCTTTTCTTGTACCTCGAAATCGCACCAATCGTTTCTGTATTTCATGATTGATTGATTGGTGGAAGAGCGAAAAATGGGCACCGTTTTCAAGGCCAGGGCAGGGCTTGAGCCCTGAGGTCGAGGGGGAAGCAATGTCTCGGATGGCTGCAACTTCACCTTTCCATATCAAGACAGTGCTACCTACCTATGTATTTACTGTGGAGGGCGGAAGTGGAGCCGTTCCTCGACGCCGAGTGTGACACTGTGAGATTTGAGCCGCTTGGACGGTGAGATCTGCCTTTCCATGGCGTGCGTGTATCTCGTCGACGTGACGTGATTCCTTTGCCGTGTTTTCTGGGCGTTAAAGAAATTCGAATCGCATCGCTTGCTGTTTCCAGTGCGAGAGGTTTCATTCAGACCCCACATCCCCCCACCTTTCATTCAGCCATCGTCAAATCAAACCCTCACTCTCAAACGACTCCTGATCTGCTCATGGAAGTATGGAACGATATCGAGATGGATGCACAATTCGGTTGCATCACCAGCTGCCTGCAAATCGTCTTTAAATCTTCTAACCCTTGAAAAGCATGTTGCATTTCTGAATCGGACCTTACTAAAATGCGGAGTGCATGCTCACGTTGGATTCCCTCTCTCCCATCCTCCCCGCCTAAAACGGGCCTGCCAAACATACCACCCGCAAAATGGCCCCAGAAACAGAAACATCCAAAACCTTGGTACCGACAAGCCGGACCCCTTTGCTTCCTCGTACCCTGCTTGTTGACATCCTAGCCAATGGATGAAGAGAGGCTGTTAGTAAGTGAGGAACGCTTCCCCCGAGCGTGGTGTGCAAAAGGACTCGATTGGACGCGAGGAAGTGGAGGGAAGGCCAAGCCCAAACCACGCCGCTGGGTAAGCTTGAGGGGCTTGAGGGGTTTTGCTCGCCTACCTGCCTGCTTCCTTTGATGCCAAGGAAATCATTTCGTGGTTTTGAAGCATCTGTGCGAATCTGCAACCTCACGAAATGATTGTGGAGTTGGTAGCTTGGAGACGCGACGATGCGTTTTGATGATGATCTTGTCCGTAGATTACTTTTTGAGCAGTTTGATAGACCCAGCCTTGTGTGTTTTCGAATCGTGTTGGGGCCTGGAGATGGAGAATTCCCCGGACTGCATGTTGTACCTTATCCCTGCCCTTGAGGGATCCCTCCCCTTCCCATCCACTCCATTCGAAGAATAGACGCCGTGAGCACAATACAACCATTAAAGCGAGGCCGTTTTACGATTCCGCGTCCCGTACGTCATCGAATGTTTAATTGTTCCTTTTCCTTTCTCGGAGTTTTTCTTTTTTTCTGGCTTTCGCATGTGGATGTGCCTGATGTCAGAGCACAGAGGGAGGGGTCTGATCTCAACGTTCGCCTTCCTCGGTTCACGCACCAGAAGAAGAAAACCTTCGGAGGTGAAATTCTTCTGAAGTGGACAGCTCGATCAAACTCCCGAGTCCCCAATTTTCCCATGTCTGTGCGAAACCCCCTCTTCTTTGCTTGCTGTGACTAGATTTCCCTGTCGGGGAGCATACGATTTGAAGATTTGAAGTGGGGAGGTTATACGAGTACTACTCT